CTGGGGCGCTGCTCCAGGGACCGAGAGGTCTCCTAGGGCCTCCCCTCTGGCAGCTCCCCCTCTCCCGAGATTTTGGGTGCCCCGTGTGTGACACAGGCAGATGCGAGCAAAGATGCTGATTTGGTGGGAATCAGGGGTGGGGGGTGCCGGGGTATCCCCCCTCTCGGCGGGGTGAGCGCTGGGCTGGCAGCACGGTGCTCCCCCACCCCGCGGGCACCCGGGACGGGGGGAGCCCACGCGGCACAGATGGTCGGGACTCGCCGCGCTGGAAGCGGCGCAGATCGTGCCGGGGGAGGCACCGCACGGGCCCTGCTGGCAAACACCAAATGTGCTTGTTCAGCCAACTCCTCGTGGGTAAACACGCTCAGGCGGTGACTGGCCATTTATTTCCAACGGGAATTGGTCTTCCGAGCCGATCCGGGGAGCTCTCCAGGCCTGGGGAGCCACGGGGAGAGCCCACTGCTGGCTGCCCGCTCTCGCTGGGGGGACGCGGGCCAGTGAGGAGAGGCCCAAACGCACCCAGCCCCGGCAGGGAGGAGCTGGGGCCGGCCCTGCAGCGGGGAGATGAGCTGTGGGGGTCATTCCCTTGTCCCACCACATTTCCCAGCCCCATCAGCTGGGTGCTGGCCCTCCAGCGCCGTGCCTGGCGGGCGTCTCGTGCTCTCACCCGCCAGCCCGAGCACAGGCACCAGCTCTGCCCCTGCAAGGGACACGGGTGCAATGGAAGAGCTGGGTGCTGCTCGCCCCCCTCTCCTCCAGCTCCCCGCTCCCCCTTTCCAGCGGGAGCGTCTCCAGTTGTGGCCGTTGCGCAGGGAAACCTGGGCTTTGTCGGCTTTGGGACACCCGTTAGAAAATCAGAGCGGCTTTCAGCGCTGCTGGGCGGGCGGGGGCCCCCGCTGCGCTCGCTTGGTTTTGGCATCGCCCTGAGATCGGTTTCTGCTCGTTTTCTGCATCGCTGCTGCCCGCGAGCCGTGTGAGCCCTGACCCCTTTCTCCCCCCTAGCTGCATCCTCGGGGCAGGTTGGCTCCGCACCCGCTCCAGCGGTCCCCGGCACTGCGGGAGGTGACATTCCGGATGCCGGGGCTGATGGGATCGACCCTTTATTTTAGGAAAAGACCCATTTTATTTCTAGGATTGTCCTTCCTCCTGTGGCCTTCACAGAGCCTCTTCCCTGTGACCCCCCCGCTCCCCCTGAGTTTCTGTCCTTGCCGCTGCCTGGCGGGTCACTGTGTGGCAGCATTTTGAGTGGGGGACGGAGCGAGGAGGCAGATGCCGATGCCAGGGCAAACAGGGAGCTTGTGGCGGAGCCAGGAGTGGGGCCCATTCCACAGATCCCGGTGCAGCGCGTCCTCCCGCCCGCCCCAGCCTTGCTGCGGGCAGGGGAATGGCAGCGGCTCTGCCGTGGGCTCTGCCTTTGGTCCTGAAGGTGGAAAATGCACCAGGGAACTGGCTTCCTGCGTGCGCCCCGTCTTCCACCCCAAAGAGGGTCCCCATGGTGCGTTGGGGTACAGCGAGTGACTTCAGGGGGTGCCCAGCAGCAGCTGGGGACGAGAGGGGCGGGAGGGAGCGGGCAGGGGAGCAGGCAGGGGCTGAGCGGTGTCCGCCTGCGAACGCAGCGCCGGCTTCGGGCGCGTTTTGAACCCCGGACCCTCCACGTGCCGAGCCCGGTGCCTGCGGAGGGAAGCAACCCCCGGGCAGCAGCGGGGAGCTCGCGGGGAGCTCACCGTTGGCGTTTCAGGGCTGCTCCCTCGCCGCAGGGAGTGCGGCGGCAGCGCCTCACCCTCCCTGTCCTCTCCCTCTGTGTGCCCGAAGGTCTGAAGACCCCCAGCAACTGTGAGCTGGTGGTGGGGGGCGAGCCGCAGTGCTGGGCCGAGGGCCGCTGCCTGCTCTTCGACGACTCCTTCCTGCACACGGCGTTCCACGAAGGTAAGCGCGAGGCTCGCGGGGCCGCGCCTGGCGCCGGGGAGGGCTGGGGGTGACACCGCAGCAGCCCCGC